ATGCAAATTAATTAAAGAATAAACTCTTGTTAGTTGCATTATTACTCTTAGAATCACAATTTAAAAGCTAGCGTCTGGACATTGAATCATCGATTCACAGAACTTTAGTACAATCTCTATATATAAGGACTTAGTTATGGATCGATCATAACTAAATTCAGTATATGTGGTGCAACTTGTTCTGGGCCGGGAATCTTAACAGCATTATTGTTAAAAGTTAATTCATCGGACCTTTCACATAGAGTCGAGTTTGTTATGAGTACGATGTTAGGAAATCTCACAAGTACTGTGAGGTTTATAAGTTCAAGAAATTTTTCTTTATAATATATTAGTCTTTTGAGATTGAGCTCTCTCTTTAGGTTCATGCTCATTATATTTGTGCTTTCATTGAGAGTCAGCCAACCGAAAAGGGCTACCTGCGGATGGTTCTAACCGGTAGGAAAATCGAGTAAAGTGCCATAGAGTGGATCGGCCGAGGACATCGATTCTCGAGGAGAGTGCTCTGTTATGAGTCCCACATTGGGGAATCTCACAAGTGTTGTAGGATTTATAAGTTCAAGGGGTTCACCTTCTTAATAGGCTAGTCTTTTGGGATTAGACTCTTTTCTTAGGCTTATGCTCATCACAGAGGTTCTCGAACACTATTTAATTTTACAAATTGAAAACTTGAATGGAATTATCTCTTATAACACAAACAAAATTAGCGAATAATGCAATAGCTAATATGGATCAACTAAGCTGAAAAATCTGATCATCATCAATACAAAGAAAGATCTTTTGAATCAGACATTCATCAGTTGAACTAATTTCAAACATGCTCAGATAATCATAATTTAAAACAGATCCGTCTTTTGCTAAATCTTATAATATAATGTTTTTAGCAATGTAAGCTGAGGACGGAGAGAAGCAAACCAGACATGAAGTTGGTGCCTTTTTGTGGACATACAAGAGGATAGCGTGGCTACTCTTTAAAATCACAAGTTAGTCACAAACATTAATTATGTGCATTTAAATTCTAAATATATACAAACCTTAATGATAATTTAATCAATCAATGTAATCACCAAAGGCATAATTAAATAATCAAAACTAAACTCTTCCACTATTTCATGCACCAACGAATTAATTTCAGCATATTATCACTCAAAAGTGATTGTGCAATTGCCGCAAAAAAACACAACTAAATAACAAAAAAAAATTCAAAATTTTCTGGTTAGTGAAAGTAGCCAAAATTATTTTTTCATATATTTAAACAACTAAATGGCAAATAAAATAAATAATAATAATAAAACAGAGGGACAATTAAAAAAAACTCTTAAATTTCAAAATCCTAAATCAGGAATTATTACAAAAATGTGTTGTTGTTTGCTTTTTAAGTATAGTCAGTTGCTATGAAAATATAGTAAATAACTCCAAGCGATGCCGCCATTTTGAAACGTGAACTGCTTGAGTATAAACAAAGAACACTAGTGTTGGTCCCTTTAGCGTTGTGGCACAATCTTTATTATTAGGATCATGTGGCCTACCTTTGTCCATTATCATTTTCTTGAACATTTCCACTAAGCTGCTTTTATTTCGGGGGCAGAAGACGCCCAAAATGAGTATGATAACCAACATTGTCATGATTAGGGTGTGATGCATGGTAGCTCGCTTAGCAGCTCGTGCCCTTCCATTTCCATCCCATGGTTTTTCGGATCAAATATTATTGTGCAGCTGATCCTAACGTCCGGCGTTTCATCATCATTTTTGTAGCTTTGATATGTATGTACTAGTTTTTTTTTTTTTTATGAATTGTATTAGTTTACTACTAGTAGGTTATTACCAGTACTAATTTATTATAATGAGCTGAGTTTTCCTTTGTTATTATTACTCTATTATGATGAGCTGTGTTTCATCATTATTTGTGTTACCTTTAATATGTATGTACTACCTCCAGTCCTAGTTATAAGATCTTATTCGTAGACTTTAAACGAGATCTTATAATTAAGACCGGAGGTAGTATCAGTTTATTACTTTAGTATGACAAGCTGCGTTTTCCTTTGTTATTGTCGGAGATTCATACTTCTCCATCAAAGTTGACGATAAAATCATATACATATATACATATATATATATATATATATTTAAAATAAAGAGGCAAGATTACACTTTAAAAGCACTATCAAAAGCAAAAGTAACTAGTCCAAGTCATCCCTAAGGCGAGAGAGATAATCAGCTGGTGGGTGCCACATCATGATCATTTCTTCTGTACGCATGTGCTCCTCCTTGGCGATAAAATCATATTTGAAGACATAAACTTTGTGTGTGTTTTTTTTTTTTAAAATCTCCTCGGGTAGCCTCCCTGATTTCTATCGTTGCTTCAGCGTCTGGCATACCGCCACACATAATCAACCTATATATTTTTGCTTTTAATCAACTAAGCAACTCATAGGACTTAGAAATCACATCCTGAACTATGTAAGGCTCAAATCCTATCACGGCAATTAAATATAATGTGCTCAAGGATATAAGAGGTCAAGTATGTAAGATTAACTTGAAAGCTCTCGTAAAATTTACGAGATTGCAAACATAAATATTTATAAATATATTAACCAAAACTATTCTAAAGTTACTATAAGCTATACATATTGGAATATTTCTTATTAAAATTTAATATTAGTTGAAAAAGAATGATCTTATTCATACGGCAAAAACATTTAATAATGAGAGTCCTAATAAAATATTATATATATATGGTGATAGCAAGGTGGGGGACAAAAAAAGAACGATTCCTTGGAAAAAGAACTGAGGAGGGAGGTTACATTACAATGGTTTCAATGATGATATATTATATTATATGAATGGTGGAAGAAAATTGAGAGAACACCTCAACTCAACTCTACATGGAAAAAGAAAGGACGTAAGTTGCCAAAGACAGACACATGGAGACAAATTAATGGAGAAGGACGAAGGAGAAAAGAAAGAGAAATAGAAGTGGCACGTTAAGGCGATAATGATAGTCAAAGAAAAAAAAGAAAAAATAAAGAAAGAATGAGGAAGATAGGGGGAGGAGTGGGGATCTGCTTCATCGAATCCATAAGCAGGGAATGATGGGTTGTGTTTTTAGCATTCTAAAACTTTATGTCACATCGAAAAAAAAATTTATGAATAGTCCTAGTCCTTTAAAATATTTAAATTTTTCTTCTTATTGTTTACCTACAATATTACTTAATTTATTTTTAAAACACATATTTTTTAAGACACATAAACACACACTAATATGCGTGTGTGTATATATCTAAACAATTATTTTAGTGAGGTATTTTATTTAACATTTCTGTAAAGTTTGTTTTATTTTTTAAATAAATCATTACACACTCTTTTAATTTATACCCCAGGTAAAAACTAACTCCCTGAGTCTGGAATGTTACGCCTGGCCTGTTACTCTGCAGCATAAGCCTGAGCTAACGGAGCTACTCCTCCATTTAGGCGGCTTCGTATGCCTATCGGTGAAGTGATTCGCATAAGAAATGGAGAATTTTAAAATGATGCTGGGTTTCAGTTTATTATCATAATAATACGATATATACTACCTCCGGTCCTTAATAATTAATATATGTAAGATCTGATTAATTAATTTGAAAAAACTAAAAAAATTAAAAAAAAACTTAATTATAACATATATCATATGATATCTCTAAAATACTTATATGTATCATTACATTATACATCATTTTATAAGTCAAGCAAACTAGTTTGAAAGAACAATAAATATAATACTTTAAAGTAATTTATTTAACTACTTTAATTTTCTCAAATTAGTTTTTTTTGTCCAAATCCAAATTAGTTAATTGGATCATATATTAAAGACAGAGGCTAGTCTCTTCATGAAATCCACTTGAATTTTTTAAAGCTTAAATCTCACCTATAAGTGCAAGGAAAGCCTCTTGCGAGGCATAATTCAATACCAGAAAAGAATTAAGAAATTTCATATAAATTGCCAATAAATAGTCAAAGGCTGAGGCTGAATTTCATGGTAAACAAAGTAAACTAATTCGATGTTCAGGGTAGAGAACAAAACAGCGGAAGGGGAGAGCTGAAAAATGGTAATGGGGTGCACATGCACTTGACCAGAATGTTACGAAAATGATTGGTTAATTAAATGAACGTTAAAAATTAACACTAGAGAGGCCAGAAAGAAAAGCCAATAAACATGAAACAGACCAAAATATATATTGACAAACGATTCGAGCATGAGATTAATTAAATATAGTATGCCGTAAATATGAATCAAGACAAGCCAAAATGCAAACCTTAATCGCATATTTTCAAAGTGTTAAACATTAGTTACTTGATATGTACGAAAATGACAGGAGCACATTTCATGATTGTATATAAGTACTGATTCTGGAACATATCTCATTAGATTCATGAATCTGTTATACATATATATATATATATATATATGTATGTATATATATGACGCAATTATATATAGGCTTATGCCACTCTCAAAAGGAGCGATAGACCATTTAACGTAAGATGATCTTTAGGCTCGGGGAAAGCAAGATCTCATTAGATTGAGAGTTTAATCTAATAGAATCTTTCTTTCCTGTCCATAACCTGATCTTTCTATCTTATTAGATTCATGAATATGTTTTATATATATATATATATATATATATAACACGCAATTACATATTCAACTGTTTATTGGTACTGCTTTTCATAAATACAGCATATAGGCCTCAACATAAAATCTCTTCGCTAACTCTATCTCTCTCTCTTTCTCTTCCATGCTTATATGCAAGTAGGTTAGTGCGCGTCATTGTCAGGTTGGGTTGTGCTCTAAATTACCAGTAAGTGTCGGTACATCATGAAGGTATCTAAGTTTTAGTCTCCATTAATGAGGGTTGTGAAATCCAGTTTTATTTCTTAAAAAAAGAAAAAAAAATCAGTCTTCCTCTCTATAAAACTACATAATCCCCCCTCCCTCTCTTATCAATCTTTGCAGCAGCATTATGAGTTCTCCTTCTCAGCCCCCTAACCCTCCAAGACGTTCAGGGACTAAAATCCCTGATCCCAAAGCTGTTTTCTCCAAATCAAGGCCACCTCCTTCGACTCAGACCCCTAACCCTCCAACAGCTTCAGGGACTAAAATCCCTAATCCCAAGGCTGTTTTCTCCAAATCAAGGCCACCTCCTTCGACTCAGACCCCTAACCCTCCAACAGCTTCAGGGACTAAAATCCCTAATCCCAAGGCTGTTTTCTCCAAATCAAGGCCACCTCCTTCCACTCAGACCCCTAACCCTCCAACAGCTTCAGGGACTAAAATCCCTAATCCCAAGGCTGTTTTCTCCAAATCAATGGCACCTCCTTCCACTCAGACCCCTAACCCTCCAACAGCTTCAGGCATTACCATCCCTCATCCCCAGGACATGTTCTCCCCCACATCATGGCCAAGCGGGTCAACTTCTCCGTGAGTCTTGTTTCATTATAAGGTAATTCATGTCTACTCCTTTTTTATTAGTGTTGTCTTCGATTCCCTCTGAAGCTTTTCTGCTCAGGTTATTAATTAAGGCACTGCAGTGTTGTTCTTTCTAGCTGTTCTCCTGTTCCTGGTTATGGATGGGCTTTTCTTTAATTCAGACATAGATGGACAAAGCTGTGATACCAGGTTGAAAGTTCTAGAAATGATTGGGGGTTTTAGAAATAATTCATGATTTTAAAAAAAAAACTCATAGCAGTCAAAGAGAATCCCTCAGCCTTTCTTTCACCGGTCCCATGAGATAAAAAGGCTTCGATACCAGATTGGAAATTTTAGAAATTAAACTCTCAATCAAAGGCTTGCCTGAAAGTTTTAGAAGTAATGATTAAGATTACATATATATTTCTGTCCCATTTATTCACCACCCTCACCCCTACCAATCTTTTAGCATCCAAATTCCATTCTTTCTTATCAGGTTCATTAGACTGTATGCTCATCCCCAATTTCATTTTGATGCAGATTGTGGCCGGTAAAGTGCCAGATATCAGATGATGAGGTGAGATGGCTTCGTTCGGAAGAATGCAAAGTGTTTGCGTGTCGGTGTGTAAGGAATAATATATTCTAGCTACCAGGGAGATATATGAAACATTATGTGTTTTGCGCCTGGGCTTGATTTGATTTGTTATCCAGTTGTCCTCCTTTATTTTGTTCCATAAACATAAAGATAATTATCTTGTGGGTTCCTTATTTTGAATATCACCTGCTTTTAGATATTGAACACCTTAATTATTTATGACTAGTTCGTCGTTAATGTTTATTGAGAGAAGGGTGCTTCACTTAATTAGCCCTTCTCAAGGACATGACTCAGAAGCACTTAATTAGCCCTTAAACATGTATGTATTTAACAGTGTGTACATGTGGCTATATGTGGTGGCAGGTGTTGGGCAAATTACGGAAGCATTATTCATACGCATTCCATTAATTAGATCCCAAAATATACTGATTATTGTGAGTGGTCAAAATTAATCTTCTTTCATTTATATAGAATAATTAAAGAGAGTAAATTCCCAAAAACGAGATGTTAGTAGCTGGCTTACTTAGCAGCACACCCCTTTGTTTTGCTTACAAGCTTGATCGGACCAATTATTATTGTGCACTTCATTATTACTTTTCTTTTCTTTTGGTGTTGCTATTTGTAAATTTGCAAATGACAGATAAACATTCAACGCACCAATTCAACTTTAATTCATTAAGTATCAATTTGATTGAGAATATATTTAATATAAAAGCGAACTTTGGCCACTTCCGTTAATATTGTGCAAGTAATTCTAACATATGGGCAACATTTAATAAAAAGATAAAGAAAGGCGTGTGCTCGTAAATACTAATTGAGATTGTAAATAATTCACGAATGAAATGAGTGCAAAGTCTGAGCAAAGTTCAAGTTGAATTAAAAAAAAAAACACCACAAATTTCACCTCAAATGCTATGTGGAAGCATCTTGCCGACATAATTCAGCGCAAAAGGAAAAGGAATTATTAAGAATTTTGAATTAAATAGGGAACAAAAAGAGAGTTAAAAATATGAATGAATATATTAAAAAAATCAGCATCAACTTGAAAAATATCAAACCGGAAAAGGTGTCCAACACGGAATGGAGAAGAGAAGTTGAGAGGTTTGTAAAATATTTATAGAAAAGATTTGAGGTAGAGACAAAAGGCAAATGAATTTCATCGAAAAAGGAGAACGTACGGAAGCAAAATTACAGGCGCAATCTCGCGCACGCGCAATATGGTAGCTACTTACTTTTCTGTTACGTGGTAATTAAGGGCTTTCGCATATTAATCTTCTTGATTATTTTCACTCTTGTCTCTGTGTGTGTGTGTGTGTGTGTTCAATATAATATAATCTTCAACGGTCGTTCATATATTATTTTTAATTCCTGAAATTATAATTAGATTCATTTTTGCTAATGATTGCTCGAATTAAACACACAAACAGATATAGGGCAATTATATTCTAACAGATATAAGCCACAATAATACATTTTAAGAAGGATTATAGAGAGCCGAAAAGGAATTGTTTATTATGAAAAGAACAAAACATTTGATTATGTTTTGGTGTTTTCATAATAAGCACAGAAAGAGTTGTCATAATGAGGGAAGGAGACTTAGAGACCACAAAGCCACTTTTGTCGGATTATCATGTTATATATATAATCACCGTCCACACCTTGATATTATTTTTAATTCATCAATTAATCACACTGTTTACTACATTATCCCCCAAAGAAAATCCAATGACATGTTCAAGAAGACAACAGCTTGAATGCTTTCATTCATTTAGAGCACCACACTTTGTTTTAATTTAACATCCTTTCCCCGGGCATTGAACGCTCTCAGTTTTTATGTTTATTTGTGTAAGAAACAATTACACAGGAGCACACTACCACTAAATTTATATATTGACGCTAAAAACTACGACACGACGACCATATTAAGGTCGACCAGAGAGTCTTGTATGTAAAGTATGCAAAGGAGAACCTCTTCCCACCAATGTTTGGGTCCTTTGATTTCTGAACAAAATGTCTACAACTTATACATAGAGACATAAAAAATCCTTTAAAAAAATGCATGGTGCGATGATAAAAATAAAGACCCCATACACAGCCAATTCTTGTGTCACTCTCTCTTTGTCCCTTTCTGAGATTTATTTCTGTGTTTTAACCTCAATAGAAAAATTTAAAAAAAGAAAAAAAGAACAGAGAGATGAAGCGCTGAAAATAATTTCCAACTTAATTTGAACTTGTTGCTTGCAGCCACTCTTTTCAACTTCACTACTTATCTTTATGGCTTTACGCATATTTACTGCAACACAAACGTACCGACATTTACAAATTTAGTTTGCATAGTACCAGATGGGACTATATATCAATTTCATCATATAATGTACTTAAGCTAAGAAGACGATATTTATCGACGCTATTGTCATAGAATTTTGGCCTTAGTTGAATATATAGTACTTGCTATATCAGTCATAATTAAATTAAACCATAGTCCTTGGCCACGAGCAACGAAAAAGAAAAGTAGAAAAGATGACTGAGTGGATGATTAAATTAAGAACTGTCTGGGGATGCAAGTTGAATGATTGCTTGCGGCCTAAAAAGTAGACAAAATCTAAGGGAGGTCGACGACAAATTTTTAAAAATCATAATTAAAAATTAAGGCCTTTGATTGATATAAAAAATTTCTACGGACCAAAAGCTTGGCTGGAAACATATATAGCTATATAAAAACCCATATTCTATGCACTTTTAAATAAATAAATTGAAATTTTAATGGAAAATAATTATCTAAAACCTGAATTTAACACAGGAATATGAAAAATAAGGTTTCTTATAATTTACCATCTAACTCACATTATTTACTTTTTTTTATAAAAAAAAAATCAGTGTAGGACTTCAGTACTCGTCCTTGATTACCATTACTGTTTTTAAAAATTTGAGGCCCTTCTTGGTCAGTCATATTTGTCATTTTTTCTCTCTTTCAAAATAATCATTGCGACTCCGACTCCATAACTATTTATTATCGTAATTAAAGAATAAACTCTTGCTAGTTGTATTAATATACGTAGAATCACAATTTAAATAGGGTCTGGACATTGTATCATCGATTCAGAGAACTTTATTACATCTATATAGAGCATATGTAAGGATTTAGTCATCGATCGATCAGGAATTCAGAACTAAATTCAGTATATATTGTGCAAATTGTTCTGGGGAATCGCAACCGCATTATTAAAAGTTGATTCATCGGACATTTCATATAGAGTCGAGGTTCTCAAATTACAAAAACTTGAATGAAATTATATATCTCTTATAACACAAACAAATTAGCCAATAATGCAATAGCATCGATTTTCAACCTCCAGATTAAAATCATGTCAAAGGTGTTATTTGTTCGCCAACATAAATTAGCATAACCCATATTTTTGTCATATGCAAGTGAAGTTTTTATTTACTGAACCAAGGCAAATTTTTTAACAACATTTATCCCCACATGATTACTTTTGTAATCTCCCCTTCCCACCTAAGAACTTCCCCAACGCATAGTCTTTCCACATTTTTTTAATTTAGACCAACCATATGAATTCTCACTACAAAACCCAAAATTATTTCCGGATGCCTGTATTTATATATTTCAAAAGATTTGTTTCTATACGGATTCATAAATTACCAGGGTGCTTTTTGTTTTTGGGGGGGGGGGGTAAAAATTCATGTGATCCATAAAACTGATAATTTGTGGTTACTTATCAAGTCCAACTAAGGCGTGCGACTAGAAATGCTACGCCAAAGAAACTACACTAAAAGCAAATTACGTATCCAATGATGAGGAGGAAGCTGGACTTTTCCAGTTCAAATCATATATAGTATATTTTTCATATATTGTCATGTTCAGGAATTAATTAATTGTGCGTTTTAAAACAAAACACGTCAATCAGCACTTCAAGGGGAAAATGTAAGTGTTTGACTTTCTATCAAGCCCGCTTGAAAGTCTGGAAAGTGCTCCGTTTTGGAGTAATTAGATTTAACATATAAATTGTTGTATCTGAGCTATACCAAAAAAAAATTAATTCAATTTATACATTTTTCGTGGTAAAATAAAAAAAATATGATTGCCAATATTAAAAACGAATTCTCTCGTAATTCAAAACAAACTTGTATTGCTATTTGTTTGTATTTATTATCAGAATGGAATAGTCCAGTTATTTCCGCGAGCACAATTTAGAGTCATTAGTACAACACCGGGATTCTGTTTGGATATATCTCCAACTTTGCATTCTCGAAGTTTTCTTTTTTCCTGTTTAATATGATTATGAGATGTGACAAGTCTTGTGCGGCTCAAAAGAAAGTGGTCCGAGTGACTAAAATTTGATAATCATACATGATGATGTGTAATGGGAATTAAAACCATGCTTTAAAAATAATTAAAAGTAATCTAATTACGTTTATTAATCACGTTAATAACGAAAAGAATTAAAACAGATCATTCCAATTATTTGCCATTTGTATTTTGGATTATACACATTCTGCAGTTACAAAGAATCATCGTTTTCGTCATATTCTTGGGAAACGGAAGCCTCAATTAGTCTTCAAGCATTATTATGTCAATATGCTATTTTTTCATTATTGAAAAATAGTAAAATATTAGCAAAAAGTTAATAGCTGATCCTGATTCGATTATAGTAATTCAAATTTATTATGTCAGACAAGAATAGGAAAGTTTAACTATGTGCTAATTAACACTGCATGTTTAATTTCCAACATGCTCAGAAATAATTATAATTTAAAACAGATTTGACGTTAGCTAAATGCTATAGTGTTTTTAGTAATGTGAGGTGAGGAGGAAGAGAAGCAAACCAAACATGAGGTCGTTGGCAGCTTGGATGGGCTTTATTAAAAGAGCCAGGGATCAATCTTGTTAAAGGAAACTAGACAACAGAACTTTCATTAGTCGTGAGACAATGACCCGTGATTAATTTATCCAAGAGGGAGTAACACCATGTAATCGTCCTGTCGTGTAAGCTCTCAAATTAATTAACTAAATTAACTCTATATAGTATAGAGGTCAACCTAGGTCGTTTCTCTCTATGAGGAGCTTTGTTAAAATTTTGAAAACCTTTTTAATTAAGAAAAACGTGATGTAGAAAAAAGAGAGTAGGAAAGAAAATTGATTGATTTGTTTAAGAAAATAAATTGACAAAAATATAAGAAAATAACAATGAGTAAAAGGAAGCGAAAGGAACGAAGACTTTACCAGAATGATACACTTTCGAAGGACGTTGATGAGTGGCTATCACGATTCAAAAAGATGAAGAGTTTGTATAAAAATAATTGCTAAGTCAAAAGGAAAAACCCTAGATAACATCTAAGTCGTGATTAATTAATTAATAATTATACTTAGAGAACTAGCATATAATCACCTTCTAATTAATCATTTAAAAACCACTTAGTTGTGAATTCAATTAAACAATTATATCTTGTTCCTAAAGAGAGTTATCTACCGAAAATCCTAAAGCATGAACTACTTGTGCAAAATCAAAATAGAAATCTATAAAGATAAACACTCATAGAATCATGAGGAAACTGAAAATATATTCATTAAAAGCTTTAAAATATAATTGTTTAACTGAAAAAAATCAAATATCAGTCCACAAAAGAAATAAAAATCCTAACCTAAGAAATTCATAAACACAACGTACTAGTGGATTGAAATAAAAAAAAACAAACTCTCTAATATAAACAGGAACTCAAGCCACGTCATCTTGTTCTCAGGAACAAAGAGGACTAGCCACACATATGGCTAGATGACACCATAATGATAGAAAGAAAATAATGAAAAGAAGACAGTGAAACAGCTGGACACAAGAGGAAGCTAAGTGTATGCTTGTGCTTGTGTAGTGTAGATGGCTCCATTGTTTCTCCAAGGCTCCCTTGATCTCCTTTTATAGTTTTTGAATCTCTCCTAGTTGGATGAGGAAACCCTTGAATCTTCTAACTTGATCTTTTATCTTGTAATCTTGATAGAACTTTGAATTTGAATTCTCTTGATTTGGTGTGATCTTCATGGCAACCCTAGTAAAAGAGCTTTTGAATTTAGATGATATTGGATAAAAGGATAATATCTCATATTTGAATAAGGATATGGTGGTAGGATGAATTAGGGTTAGGGTTTAGAAAAAGGATAAAAATGATAATGTGGATATTTGGAAAATTAGATGGATAATGGAATATGAATAAAACATTTATTCAAATTCAAAATACGATAAGGGACTTATTCACAAAAGAAATTAATTATTCAAGCTCTTTAATTTATGATGGAAGATAAGAGATATTCTAGCTAGATATTTTGAATAATTTCCAATTAGATAATTAGAAAATCCTCTTGTAATGCCACGTGGCTGCCACAAACGTAGTTTTCCAAGGGGTCCATGGTTTGCTTGATAGAATGTTCCCTAGAATCAAAGCAGAGATACCTTTCAAAAAGAAAATTATAAAAATATAATAAAAAATTGCACTTTTAAGTAATTAATTCATATAATTTCCTTAAATCAAAATATGAGTATCTATTACATTTAAACCCTTCCAACATTATAAAATCCCTTAATTATACATAAAAATATATTATAAAATAGAGATACATCACCATGTCTCCAGGGAGACTTATTTATGCATCATTATTTCGACATACACTATGAATTAATTATGAACTTATATAAAATCACGCCAAAATATATTAAAAAGATCTATAAAGAAGGTTGAACTTTTTTTATTGCGCGTATGAATGAGTCGAATCTAAAAAAAAACAAATAGTTAAATAAGTATCCAACCCTATGATGTTATTTTTCAATAGTATATAGTACCCTAATCTTATCTATAGTATATCTAGTATCTCATTAAATAAAATTAAGGTGTTGAATGCAATTGAGAAATAATATCAAAATGTGAATGTTGGATGCTACTACTGTCTATCCTTAATATAAGATCTAGTTTAACATTTAATTTGGTTTTAAATATAAAACCTCAATCCACTTTATCTCTTATATTTATCTTTTTTTTAAAGTAATTATTATAGTAGTTATATATGTTAAAGATTTTATCAAATGGTAGTTGTAACTAATGCATATAATTAGCAATGGTGTTCTAGAAAAGACAACACATAATTATTACAAATAATTAACTTAATAAACTTTCTTAATTTGCTCAAATTAGTCAACAACTAACTTTTATAATAAGGACCAGAAGTAATACTTTATAAAAAGAAGAATCAAATGACATGGTCAAGAAGACAACATCTTAATTGAATGTTGTCATTGGTTACTTTGAGAGAGGGTCCTAGTTAAATTTCTTTACTTTGACATTTCAAGCACTGGACTTTGTTTTAACATATTAGGTGCTGTCTTCTTGAATACATAAGCTCTTCAATAGAAGCTGAGCTTGGGAGCGTATTGCATGGGATAAGGATAAGGCTTGCTCAAAGCCTAGAGCGAGTGGTTAATTGGTTATTTCTACTGGCTGTCATATTCAAACTATCCACACTTGTTATAATTAAGTCACTAAAAGAGATTCTGTGTGTTGTACTAACTTCCTGTTTAAATTAGCTATATACTACCTCCGGTCCTTAATATAAGATCCTGTTTAACTTTTATTTTGGTCCTAAATATAAGACCCCAATTCACTTTGTCTCTCATATTTGTGCATTTTTTTCAAGATAGTCCTTCTAATAATTGTAGTTCTACCCAATATAGTTGATTAATAAGGATATTTTAGGAAAGACAACACCTATTTATTACAAATAACTAACTTAACTTCTTTCCTTAATCTCCTCAAATTAGTCAACTGAGTCTTATAATAATTAGGACCTGAGGTAGTAGTATATAAAAATTGGCGCGAATCCATCAAAATAAAATATGAAATTTATTACAAACTGACTTATTTATTAGATTTTACACGGTGTACGACGATGATATGTCTGATTGTGCTGTCTAACAATAGCCTGTCTTCTCTTGCGGGACAATTATAAGGTTTGAATTTTCAGTTCAGTTATCATTTCTACATTTATATATTGACGGGAAAAATCACGACACGTCGACCCTATTAAGCTCGACATAAACAGTCTTACACGGAAAGTATGCAACGGAGAACCTCTTCCCACCAATGTCTGGCTCCCTCTAATTTCAGGAGAATATGTATACATCTTATACATGCATAGATAGAGACATAAAAAGATTAAAAAAGATGGTGTGAAGATAAAAATAAAGACCCCATACACCGCAAATTCTCTTGTGTCACCCTCTCTTTAATTTCTAGCTCCCTTTCTGAGATTTGTTTCTGTGTTTTAACTTCAATAGAAAACTTCAAAAAGAAAGAAGAAAGAGAAAACAAAGAGAGATGAACGGCCGAAACTAATTTCCAACTTAATTCCATGGATGAACTTTTTGGTTGCAGCCACCCTTTTCAACTTCGCTACCTATCTTTATAGTCTTATGCATACTCCAATATATATACCAATATTAATATATTCACTTACAAATTTAGTTTAAAGCATGATATGGTGTTTAAGTTTTCAAGGTAGCTAGGGTTGATGCATATATAGTACTTGTTTTAATGCCCCAAATGGGATTATATATCAGTTTCATAATGTACTTAAGCTAAGAAGATGACATTTATTGACGCAATGGGTATCGAATTTTAGCCTGACATAATTAAATTAAACTGTACTACTTGGCAGCGAGAAACAAAAAATTAAAGAAAAATAGAAAAGATGATTGAGCATGTCTAAAAAAATGCAAATTAATTAAAGAATAAAGTCTTGTTGGTTGTATTAATACACGTAGAATCACAATTTAAAAGCTAGCGTCTGGACATTGTATCATCGATTCACAGAACTTTATTACAATCTATATATACAAGGACTTAGTCATGAATCGATCATAACTAAATTCAGTATATATTGTGCAAGTTGTTCAGGGGACTCTTAATTAACAGCATTATTATTAAAAGTTAATTCATGGGACCTTTCACATAGAGTCGAGGTTCTCGAATTCTGTTTAATTTTACAAATTGATGGAATTATCTCATATAATAAAAACAAATTAGCGAATAATGCAATAGCGAACATAGATCGACTAAGCTGAAAAATCTGATCATCATCAATACAAAGAAAGGCCTTTTGAATCAGACATTCATCAGTTGAACTAATTAAAGACTCCAACTCTCTAATCTATTGGGATCGGTTTCTCCCTCCTTATTCTCATCACTAGCGAATATAGAGTTCCTACTAAGAAAGTTCTAAGAACAAAATGTACAGGCAGAATTCAACACTTAATAATAATAATAACGCAAAAGAGATCAAATCGAAGAACTGGGGCCACTTGTTCACCAAGAAACCTCTGGCCATTCTGGAAGAAGCTGCCTGAAGATTTCACGATACGAAAGGTAAAGAACTCGATCTTTAGCACCAGTACGATGATTACGTGTGCAGCCGCAGAAATACTTGAGTTGATCGAGCGTACAGTACCCCAGTATTTGCCCTAAGAACAAGAACAGCCAATTGATTTTGTCCTTATTCTCATCGATGATCGGTTTCACGCCGTCACCGGAGCAATACCTGCACGTCATCGACGGCGGCGACGACCACTCCTCGGGAGCACGGTCGTGCATGGTGCCCCTCTTGCTGGCAACGAAGCTCCAAAACTGATTCAACTTCTGTTCAAGATTGAACCCTATCTCATAATCTTTGTCGCACCTGTTGCACCGGACCATACCGGTGATGGTCTCAATCTGCAAGTCGCTGACAAGATGCCTCAAATCATGGACGACGGCGGGGCGGTTAGTGGCCCATGGATAAGGCGGTGGAATGGTTCTGTTATTATCCTCAACGTTGTTTCGAGAAGGATTCCGGCGAACGCGTCCCCGGCCCAACGGGGGCTCGCTGTTCAAATGCATCCTTGGTGGCGACGGTGATCTGGCGGCGAGAACTTCCGGCGGGACAATGTAAAGAGGATGATCAGAAGGAAGTTGGATCACTGGATTTCTATAATAGAAGGATTGCATTCGCTCTACATAAACTGGAATTTGTGGCATAGTTTGAGGTTCTGATGACGGAGGAGGACGCCGCCGCCGCCGAGAAAGCCGCCGGAGACCGAGAGAAAGAGCAAGAAAATCATCACTATAATCATCATGATCATCTTCTTCTGGGCGGTGGAAATTGTCGTTGTTGTTATTCATGGTGAATGATCTGAGCCAGATTAGCGAAAAGAAAAGAATTAACAAGAACTGATGTTTTCTTTTCTCAGAGAGAATGGATATAGTTTTATAGGAAGAACCAAAGAAGAGTCCAAGAAAAGATAGGATTTGGCTAAGTTGGAATGATGATTTCTTTTTCAAAATTTGAAGTGGAAATTCCGTGTGATTTGGTAAAAATAAAATGAAATCTTGTCTGTTACGTACGGAATCAGGTTCCCTGACCCTGCAGTTAGGTTGAAATCCATTTAAGATATATAAAATTTATAAATTTTGTACTTCAAGAAATATAATTGAAGTATATAATTTTTATATAGGGTTATAATTACACTCACCATTCTGTTATAATTTTTCTACCAATATTATAGGGTCAGTTCATATACGCTGATTTCGTGTGAGAATATATATTTAGTTATGTGATGTATTTATATATTTAAAAAAGAAATAATAATTTATATCACACTGGATATAACAGAATACAGAATTTCAATATATAGAATAATATCTACAACAAATTATCCTATTTAGAAGCTGCTCACTAATCGGCTAATCGTAGTAGTCATTCAAATTCTATTATACTATATACAAAGAAATGCGTCCAATTTAATTAAGTAACTCTTCTTGCAAACTTATTCTCTACCGCTTTACCTATTTGCATGTGTCTTTTGAAGAAGAATTAATTGATGATTTTTAATTTCTCTGATTTATTTAACATAATTATGATTTTTTGGTGCCTTGTTTGAACCTTGAGCATTATCCATACTTTACCCTGTTCTTACCATCCGAATTAGCATAATTGGGAGTTTTAACGAGTATTATTTCTTTTTTTAAAAAAAAAAAACATAACGTAACCTTTTTTCTTTTAAGCTTATTTATTATTTTAAAAAAAAATCGTTAACAATTTTATGCAGTTAAAAGAGCAACATTTTATAATTATTTCTTCACAATATTGGAATATCCATGAAATACGCAAAGGTGCATGGCCAACGATAAATTCTCACAGAGAAAATTTAAACGCGTGCGATTAAATTTTATATTTTTAATGTCTTTATATATCCAATTTATTATTTCATTTATATAGAGACATATCCACTCAATAAGAACGTAACTTTAACCTTCGGAGTATAATCAAAATATATGTATGCATGCTTCATATTCTTTCCTTCTTTCGTCCCAAAAAAAAAATGTTGTTGTCTTATGTACGCCATTATATTCCCGTCGTTTCATATTAAACTAGAGAATAATCCTGTTCGAAGTTGTTTGGTTCACAAGTTTCCCAGCTTAAATAAGAATTAATAATGCTGATATTTCAGAATAAAGCTAGAGTTGAAAAATTAATGGGGTTTGGCTGAATCATCATTTATTGATCCAAATAAGGAAAGGGAAGAAAAGAGGAGGAGAAAAGAGATAGAGAGACTATAGAGGAAGAAGAGAAAGCAATAAAAGAGAGAAAAATTAGACGAACATAAGAGAAATCTCATCTAATTGTCATCATATACACATATGCATAGCTTTTGCACGTAATGTTAAAGATATTTTAAAGGATAATCTTATAGGAAGGTGCAAAGTTTATGGAACCCCTTGATAGATACTAGCTATTTATCTTAATTTAGTCTTTATAAGCTACATTATTTCTTAAATTCAATTAATATCTTAGATTTTATCGAAATATCTCACCGACTATATGTTTGTAACGTGTGTTCATATTTTTCAAAGTGCATGGTAATTGTATCTTATCTCAGTACAATTTTTTCCAACGCATTTTACAAGTTGATCATAAGTTGAAGTAAATTTAGTTAGTTTCGAGTGAATCAGGCACATCGAGCTATTTCGTGTAATAAACCTTAAGATAAATGAGGACGAAGATCAAAAGGAAATAAAAAGTCATCCTGACAAATGGATCGGATCTTATCTTCCTCTGTCTTATTATTTTCCTTTTCATGTTTCAGTGACAGAAGAAATTTAAATTTATAAATCACACCTATTAGGTCAATACATCTGGTCGGTCATATTATAAATCATTTTAAATTCTTTTTGGTCCGAATTATTTTTATTATAACTCATCACTGCTTGAATTTTACGCAATAAGGACAGAATTAAATTAACTTTGTCGCGACTGTTAATTATAGGAATGAGTTTGAAATTATATATATACATATGAATTATGAAGAATAGTAGATCTATTTATTGACTTTTTATTTCCTGTGATATATAAATTCTCGTTTTCTTCAAATGCATCGCTTTGGTTTTGATTCAGAAGCTCTTGTTACTTGTTTTTGCTTGCTCTTTTTCCTGGGTTAGAAGTTATTTCCTTTGTTCTTGTCTTGCTTTTCTCATCGCTTCAGTAGCTCTCTTCCTTTGATTATCTATCTGTTAAATCCATCATTTTTTTCTGTTTTCGTTCTTAATAATCCCTTACAGGTCTCGTGTTAAACTTCACGGTAAAAAAAGCTCTAGGTAAATTGGAGAACTAGCCGAAAATAAATTCTTTAGAAAAATTCTATTGAGTGCCAAGACAGGCATTCAGGATATCAATTCAGGGTATAACTATGAGCTCCGTAATATTTTCTTTAAAAAAAACAGAATAACGAAGGAAAAAGAATTTCAAGTTGACACAGAAAAAACATAATCCCCTTTTATCGATCAATTAAGTCTTTCCAGATATTAGTTATACTTAGTAAGTATGAACTCCACATATTGAGAGAATTATGCCAAAAAGACTAAATTCACCAACATCTTATCCTTAAAAATAACGAGTAACAGATGTTCATTTTCTTACTCGTAAATTTGCGTTGTCTGAGTGGTAAATTGTATTTCTAGTAGTAAGTTGGCCTTATATGATCAATAGATACTCGTAGTTCGACATATAGATGTGTTATATAAGTGATAAATTTGAGTACTTTTTCAATAATTAATTTGTGAATTTGATAGTTCTATGAAGCGATGAAGAATTAACTGAAACTGCAAAAAGATAGAGCTGTTGGTCGAAACACGATATTAACCACTCCCCGAAGTCAAAAGCATGGAGTGGAAGGAGACATTTAGAAGACTTAAAAGACTATCATTTATAAATTAAACTCTACAGCATTAATGTGGCATGACTTTAACATGTTCAACTAGCTTTCTGATAAACAAATATTTTTTCCGATAACAGCAGAAATTGTGAAAAAAACAAAAAAGCTAATATGTCAAATACAATTGCTGTGTTGGAGATCCAAAATGAATTTGAGGCCGGCTCCTCAGAATTCCTAATGTCTGGAGAAAAATAATAAATGATGACACAGAAAGATTCAGTACTCCGTTTCCAGGACACCGTCAATGAGACCGAACTCCAAAGCCTGCAAATAAATAAAAAAACAACGGGAAGAACTGATTAAATTGTAGGATTGGCCCAACAAAACAGTGAACAGATCTGATGTACAACGGGATGCGGATTAGGAAACAGTAAAGAGAATTAAGAGATCAGGGAAGGGAGAGAGGCCTTCCCGCAGTTTAGGAAAATTCTTAAATACACTCGGTAAAAGACTGGTGGCGTCAAAAAGAACTGACAAAGCAGTAGAAAACAGTTGTTCACAAACTTCATCTTGCCGAGAAGGTCGGAAATTATTGTCTAAGAGTTCATCCAACGTCCATGCAACAAATTCTCGAAGTTATTGAAAAAATTGACCATATTACCTCAGAAACAGACAGAAATCTGTCCCTCTCGGTGTACTGTTGCACCTTCTCCAACGGTTGACCAGTAAAAGCAGAATACATCATGTCAATTTTCTGTACCCCAAGTAAATAGGGGAAGAGAAGGTAGTTAGGCTAAGCATTGCACCGAATGTCAAAACAAGAAGACTGCTATCATGGAAACTTGAGACCAGGATGTATGAAGGTTTAGCGCACTTCAAAAATTGGGATTTTAAGATCCCGCCTCTTAAAGCCAAGTGTAAAATATAGATTTCCAGATAGAGGCAACTGATGACCACTGACTCAGAAAACCCAACAATATTTTGGATGCCCTTCTATGATTGTCATAAATACTTTTCTGGTAAAGAATATAATTACTCTTCATGCACTTTCACCTCCCACAATACACACAAAGCTAACAGTTTACTTAGGTATTTCAGCCATGAGTTAGGAGCATTCAACAGTTGGAGAAACACTAACATGGCGAGATTGAACAGCTTCATTCACTTGGCGTCTCACATCTTCTACATGACCCTACAAGCAGATTAAGAGCAATTAGATCCGTGACACCTTTAAAACAAAGAATATACATCATCCAAAAGTTTTCATCCAATGCCAGTCCAAATTACTTGATTGCAGTCGCCAGATAAAAATACACGCATTCAACAAGTTAATGGACTATTGTACCACAACTCAAGTCAGACTACAAAAAGGTGCTTTTACAGGGGTGAAAGAGTGCTTCATAGTCCGCTTGAAAGAGGAGTCTTCTTTCAATAGGAATGAGTAGATCAGTTAGACGACACATTTTAATCTGTCCGTTAGACTAAAAAGGGACAAATTCCACATTTTGACACGCAGATCCCATCTTCCTATGCAGGCAAAATTTATTTTCCTTATATTTCACATATTACTACAAGGCTTATTGTTACTAAATATTTTACATATTACAGGGTTTCAAAGAGTCTTGAGAAAAGGTAACGGCATCTGATAACTGTGAAAGTGTGAATGTGATATATCCAAGCAGCAAATCTTCCCTGTAAGGGACTTGTTAATATAATACAACTAAAAGTTCATATATTGATGCAATTAAACTAGATTTTGAGCGTTAATATGAATACGTAAGTCATGAATCCTGCATTTGGTAGCCCTAAAGAGAAGAAAAATATCAAGAGCTAAAGCGTGATTAAAGCATGACCAAATATAAGAATCGTTTTAAGCCCGAACATAAAATATACAGTGTCATGGCAAGATTATCAGCAAAAAAAGACAAATGTATTTATCCCATGAAATTCAAAAGTAGATATCAGAGAATAAACATATACATTTTTAATTTCTTTTAAGTCTACATCGCCTTCTCCTTTCATTGCACCTCACTGTATTGTTCTCTACAGTCCATTAGCATATGCACAAACTTCTAACAGGCATGGTTGACAACTTCACATAGGGTGGTTAGACACGATACTCTCTTTTCAGAGTTTCTAAAACACAGGGTTCGTTTTGTTTCATTCATTACATACAGAACACCAAGAAAATAAAAACAAAATGAGAGTTTAAAAAAAACTTAAGTTGAGGACCGTGGTTAATACAATGTGACAAACACTAACATCCACTATTTATTTTCTCTGCCCAATAAACAGGGAAATATTCTTCTCTTTCATGGATTCTCATTCTCTCAAGTGTATCATCTCTAACAAAATAACAAAGGGGCAATTCTTACTCCACATCCACTCTGAGGTTGATGTATCATAATGCGTGCATTTGGCATTGAGTACCGCATCCCTTTCTCCCCACCAGCAAGGAGAAGAGCTCCTTGGCTTGCAGCTACTCCAAAACACACTGTACCAACCTTGGGCTTGATCTGGAAACAAATGGAGCAGGTTAAACGCTTTCACAGGAGGAACATTAACCACAAGGAATTTGAAAACTAGCTAAGGTGGAAATGATGTAATTGGGTTCAGAAGGTAAATCATTAGGGGCAAAATGAGAAAAGTTTTACAATCTTACCCAAGACATGCAATCATAAATTGCCAACACTGAATAAGTGCTTCCACCAGGGCAGTTTAAATATACCTACAGTTATAAGCAGCCGAGTATAAATACCATTCCAAGCTCTACAAAAGTAAAATGACAATTGTGAAGACATATCAAACCAGTATATCCGAATCCTCATCAATAGTAGCTAGTGTCACAAGCTGCGATATAACTCTCTGAGCCACTTGTGAGTTGACTGGCTGTCCAATGAATATTATACGATTTCTAAACAACACAGATGATAGATCCATAGGTCCTCCAGGAGTGAAGATTGCTGGCATTACGGGTGGATTCCCCTTTTTAGCCTCTATTGCACCATAACTACAAATAAAATGGAAAATAGATAAGTTTTTTGCTCACATTCAACTGGCCAAAAATGAAAAGACAAAGCAAAAAAAAATTCAAGCTCGTATGAGAGCCCGTCAACATACAGATCCAATGGAACAAAGATTCAGCTTCACATTTTCCATATTCTTTCCGGGGGGGGGGGGGGAATTTGCATTAATGATTCAGAAGAAATCTAAAGCATTTATTAAAAAGATGTTTACAGTCAAGCTATGGAATGACTAGCCACAGTTTGCCGTATAGATGGTTCATGGTATTTATCATCATTCTTCAACATATTAGCTGAAAGCTTCTGTTATGTTTTCTAATGAAATTCTTTTAAACATAATTTTCCACAACAAGCATAAAGATACCATCCACAATACAATCAATCGCAAAGCAAGGCCATGAACATAACAAAAATAACAGAATTGGTCAATAGTAACATGATGGTACTCGAAGCAATTGAATGAGGAAAGGGATAATTGCATGCCTTGTGCTAGCATCATAGATGCTTTTCTCATCAAGTTTTAAAGGAAGACCACGGCTTTTACTCGCGAAACCTGGATTAAATAAAAATGACATATCAAAACAATGTTTCACTGTCAAGATGAAATAGCCCACATGCAGAATTCGCGACCACATAAGTCATACATAAACGCAATTTGTAAAATGTATTTGGTCAGACCAACAAAACACATTACAGGGGTGTTTGGCAACCTCCAAACCATGGTTTCAGAAACACTTTTTCGCAAAACGAGACAAATTCCTCCATATATTTACTTTGTAAACCGTAAAAGCACTTCTGAAACCATGGTTTGGTTTTTATCCAAACACCCCCTACATAAAATATACAGTTTAAGTTTGAAATCATATACAAGTCACCTACCGTGAAAAACTATACTAGTTACCGCTTACTCGCGGCACTAATTGCATCAAATAGGAAGCATTGGGATGAAACAAGTTGCCCAGATAGTTTCGTCTTTCCTAGTTTTGAATGGCTACTAAATTTTCAATTCCAGCTGAAAATAACAATAAATAGGGGAATTACCTATCTTTGTCGGGTCCCCGTATGGACTTGGCAAGGAAGAAGCGATCGACCATGGGTTGCTGTTTCACAGAAACCCAAGCTCATAATTAGAGGTAAAAAGTAGTATAATTCCACTTGGACGCAATAAATCACGTCAATTGATAATAGATATACGAACCTGTGAGAATAAACGAGGTTGGACGAGTTTGCGTTGCGAAAAGCGATAGATAAGTTCGCAGTCGCGGGAACGGAGATGGCCGGAGCTACCATTATGCAGGCAGAGAAGCGGAAAACAAAAGCTGAAGCAGCGACAAGTAGTGTTTTTTTAAAGATTTTTTATTCCACAAAAGTTCGGTTCTGGAAAAGCCCACTGGGCGATCTTCTCTCTGCTTCGACGATGGTTATCCAAATGTGGCCCAGGCCCATTTAGGCAGGGTTGGGTTTAGCCGAAGCAGCTAGTCTCTTACAATGCGGCGAATCAAGATTCGAATCCTAACTTAGAAGATGTGCCCACATTTAATACCCGATAATACCTCGAATAAGATTACTTCCAATAGAAGCATACTTATGCTCTAGCAAAAAAAAAAAAAATACTAGCGAGAGAAAATCTCTGAAGAGGGAAAAAAATGAATCTACCCTGTAAATAAGGATGGAAACAAGCCCGACCAGGTCAGGCCTAGCTCTTAACAGGCCAGGTCAAGCCTAGCTCTTAATAGGTCAGGCTTGTTTTGGAGCCTATTGGCCTGTAGCCTGTTACAGGCTTATTTTTTAGCCTGAGCCTGGCCTGGCCTGAAACCTATTAAAAAACCTACATTTAAAAAAATTCAAATTACAATTATATTTTTAAAAAAAATCTAAGATTAAAAAAGTGTACATAATAATTAATTTTTTAGTCTTGTCTTTTATTTAAATTTTAGTATCATAAGTACTATTTTAAATCTTAATTATAATTTAGAAAGATATTATTGAAAACTAGTTATAATTATATGTTAAGATTTAGAACAAGACTACGTTTAAGCACATAAAAAAAATAAATTAAGACACATAAATAAAGAGGAAAAAAAACTACTAATTTTATAATGAATAAAGAGGGTATCATACTTAAATTAACATAATATATAAGTTAATTAATTTATTTCTTCAAACAAAATTTTCCTTTCCTATTTTCTTTATATTTTTAAGATTTAAAGATCACATTATTTATTGATATTATCATTTTAAATTATATTTTTATCTTCACTTGTCAACTAAACTTCAAAATTTAAGAAAAGATTAAGGTATTAACTATGTATTAAAATTAGAAAATAAATTAAAAGAGTACATTAACAATAATAACATTAACTATTTTTTTATATATTATAATTATAAATTTTTAATAAGTCCAGGTCAGCCTAAAAGGCTTAACAGGCTTTTTAAAAAGTCTAAACCTGACTTATTTAGTTAGACAGGCCTTCAAATAGGCCTGAGCCTGTCTCTTTTAAAAAACAGGCCAGGCCATAGACCCCTAACAGGTCGTTTAGCCTGTTTTCATCCAATCACCCCTACCTGTGGTTGTAAACAACAGAAACCATTTGCTCTCAATGCTAACCCTTTATTTAAATGAAAGAAAAAATTGGCGACACAAAAATACTAGGAGAAAAAACTTTCTAAAATAGTAAATTTTTTCTTATTTTTGAGAGTTTTTCTTCTCAATATTTTCTCTTTCTATTTTCTTCTCATGTTTTCCTCCATCCAAACATAATATAAGGATAAAAGACCAAAATTGAGCCCTTCAAATAAGTGGGATAATAATTATTCCAGCCAGTGGCAACAAATTCAGTCAATTGTATAATTTAATAAAGCTATAAGAATATAAATGACTACAATAATTGAGGAATACTTATTCATTTTCTAATATGCCTGTCATATGCAGTTAAACTTAAGAATTACGACATCTTCCAGATAATTCAATTTTTTTTCTTAATGGACGCATCAAATACTGATAACTTATCGTTGAACTCGCCTGAGCATAATTGATGCATTTATTTATATATATATTTATGTTCAACTTCATTGTCCATCCTCACCCTATCATCTTGGCAGCTCTTATTTTGACTTCAATGAACAATATTATTCTAAATCCAGCACAGTTCACACCAATACAAATTACAAAGGTCAGGAAAAAATTTCCTTTTTAAAAAAATATCTTTAATCGTCAAACATAATACTCCATTTCTGTTTGTAAGGAACAAATGAGAGTGTAGTTTGGTTCCTTATCATAAGAACAATTTGCTTTTATTTAAAACATTTATTATTCTTTTTATCACCTGTATCCTTATTAAACAAGAGACAAATATTCTCTCATATTTTTCATATAATTTTCTCAAGGGTATTATTGAAAAAAAATTCATTTAACTACATATTTAAAGCATAAAACTAGATTAAGTTACCTTTTTGATATAGGAAGCAGGTATTTGTTCCTCGTAATAAAAGCGGAGAATATTACATTAATCATGTTTATAAATTAAAAAAGATCATTTCAAATTGTAATCGCAAATAACTGCCTTGCCATAAACTGACAAATAAAATGACATGATAATTGAATTTGCTCTTTTTCAAAAAAAAAAAATCATTGTGACTCGTGGGAAAAAATGAATTAGAAAACTGCCCTGTCTGGAAAATTGACTCCGGTGGGTTTGTGTGATGTTTGAAATCATCGTACCAAACTCTTTTTTAATTTTGGTGCAATTAACAATGGAAGATAAGGCTTCGTTAATATTTGTTGACCTAAATAACGAGGAGTTGTTTTTCTCAAGTAGTAATATATTTAATTTAAACGTTACATGAATTAAAAAAATTAGATATTGAAGAAGCTTTAGTCCTATTAATTAATGAATTTGTCTCTAGATTATTTAAAATTCATTATAAATTTTAGAAATCTGGAGATCTAATTGCTCGCATTTTTCTCTTTCTGTCATACCACAAAAGACATTTTGCTTGAATTTTGATGAATATTGTACATATATTTTCCATATCTATATTTATTCCATTAGAAATGTTTCTTTTAAGCGGACCAGAGAAGGCCTAACTAATATAGAGAATAGTCTAGTTAAGTCTTTAACATTTTGTTAATTAAATACTACTTTTAATCCTTAATATAAGACCCAATTCACTAATTTAAAGAAATTAAAGAAATTACTAAATGACTAATCTCTTTAAAATACTTGTGTATCATTAGATTATATATCAATTTATAATAGTGGTAAATTAGTTTGAAAAAAAAAACCATAAATATAAATACTTTAATTTATTAACTTACTTAATCTCTCTAAATAAGTTAACTAGTCCCCTGGGTAGCACAAAGGTTTTTCATAAACTAGCAGTTTACCGACACAGAAGCTCATACAGTCGATAGGCAGGCTTCAGCTGTTTTACCAAACAACTTTAAAGAAACACTGCGTAACATGTGATCTATAAACTATATTTACAAGTCAAAACTCACAAAAGAGTTCTCCGCTAGATGCGGAGACTCCTCACAAACTTAACATATCATGTCTAAATCTCACCATTCTGTGAATGCTATTAGAGAGCAGAAGACAGAGGAACCCAGACATGGTTATCAGTAGGGAAGAAATGGCAGACAGGGGAAGTTCCAGGCTGAACTTTAAGGACATCGAAGGCCACAACATCTTTGCTCCACATAGATGTGTCCATGTGGCACATTGCAGGAGCTTTAACTCTTGCTCCATCCTCACCCTCAAGCATGGTCACAAACAAACAAGTATCGCTCTGTTGGCTATGGCAGTAAAAAACTGCATAAGGGTATGGCAGAGGATGGCACCCTATAACTCTAGGGACAGAGATGCTCTTAACTTGTGAAATTGTGTAGTTCTGTAAGGGAACAGAGGAATTTGTGAGGTGGGTTGTGGACAACATTGAGAATTCAGAATTGGGTCCGAAGATTTGTCTTGTAGAGTCAAGGAGGGATTCTAAGGAAGTTGCACAGAACTTGGTTTCGCCTTCCATGGGCGGGAATTCACAGTGTTTGAGTGTGTATTTCATGGCCTTGGCTTGAGGGGAGTGTTTGGGGAAAGAGAAAAGTTTCAGGAGGGAAGGTAAGTGCTTGGATGAGAAAGGGATCTTGTCAGATTCTTCTCTGGGAAGAAATTTTGGAGAAGCTGAAGCGTTTTTCTGGGCAAAATAGATTGGCATTTTCTTGCCTATTTTCAGATCATTTGGGATGAAATACAGGTTCAGCTCTGGGTCCATATGATTGTTATGCTTTCCCTTCATCTTTTTATGTTCTTCTCCAGCCTGGGTAATTTTAGGAAGAACATGGCCATCTGTTTCAAGATTCTGCAGGTCAGTTGATGCTTCTTTCAGTTCAATATCTCTCCCAAATGCTATTGTTATCTTTCTAGTCCCACCGTCACATGCGAGCTGCAGAATTAATGAGGAAAAAGAATGAAACTGAAACTTCGGACACAGTTGTAATCCGAACTATCAATAGAATGAGAAACAGAAACAGAGACTCTCCAAAAACTGAAAAATTACATCATGAATCAATAAAGTCAACAAATAGATAAACAATATGTGTGTCAAACAAAAGTGATTGATTGACGAAATTTAGATTAATTAATACCATAAACAAGAGAAGAGCACCGACGAGGAAGCTCCAACAAGCCAATCCAAGCCTGTTTTCCATGTTTGTGTTGGAAGTTGAGATCCTTGGGAAGTTGCAGAAAATGAAGAGGAGGGGAAGATATATACACTTGAGAAAGGCATCTTCAAGGCTAAAGTGGCTGTCCTGTTTATTAATTATTTAATTTTATCTGATGATTTGATGCAGGGTTGCCGCATTAATTGACTTTATTCCATTAATTTCATTTATCTTTTTTTGCTAACACCATTAATTTCATTTAAGTTAGAGCAGTTTCAGCGTCCCCACCTTTCCCCCTCTTAATATGAATCCTGGGTAGAGGTGGCAAAACGGTTGACCCGCCGGTTACGGGTCAGCCTGTCATGGGCCCGAGACCATACAGGTCGGTCTTTAAAACACCACCTCTTGACAGGCTTATATTTTGCCAGCTGTCCCGCCAACTAAAGCAGGCTTAGATTGGGCCTGTGGGCCCAGCCCGTAAAAAAAGGCAGGCTCGGGTTGGCATTTTACCAGCACGTCAAGGTGTGGGCTACTATAGTTTGCACCGTTTTTAGCCGTTTTTAGCCCGTTCTGCCACGAGCTAGCCTTTTTTTTTTTTTTTACTTTTTCATGAAATTTTCATTATATTGTATAATATAATTAGAGGATTTTGACCCTCAAATTCTAT